AATTAAACTGTAAAAGTGAAATTTATACACATTAACTGTATTTAGTTGAAGATTTTGGTATGTGTGGTTTGTGCATATGTGTTAATATTATGTATAATGTGTTTACTTGGAAACCGTGGATTAAATAAACATTTTAGTATTTATAAAACATACTTGGCAATTGGTAGATATATAGCATTGTAATCTAGTTCTACAAAATTAGGTGGGATAAATGTAAATGTGTTTCAAACAAGACAGAAAAATTATATGTTTTTCTCGTAATTACTGCTTGCATAACCAAATCCAGGTTTTGCAGCTACTCAAATAAAAAGTAACCATTACTTCCATAAAATAAAGTGCAAGTTATCAGATATCAATGCGAGGTGAGAGTACGCTCTTTTCTTGAAGGCTTGAAGGTCTTATCCGTTCGGAAATAGCGCAGATTGCCTGCAATTTGTTCAATAGGTTGTCAAGTTAAGTCAAAAAGCTTTTAATTTTATTAACCACAGTCTTAAAAAAATCCACCGGTTAAAACTGGACCCGTCATTAACAAGCGAGTGGTGAATTGAGAACAAAGTGGCGTAGGGCGCAGTGGTTGGTAAATGAACATTACATCGGCTATTGTCTCGGCAAAACACTAATGAACAACTAACGAACTGAGTCGGCACTTGACACTGCCTTTTTGTTTCGTAGCTAAGTACTATCTTTGGTACGACCAAACAATTACAATAGATAAAAAAAGGATTTCAGGTTTTTATCAAATCTGAAGTAAACAATTAGTTCTAGCTCTATTATATTACACTTTTTTGAGCTCAATGTAGTAAGGTATTATTTTTTATACATCACTTATGCAAAAATAATACTTAATATATATTTATACCCTGCAACAATAATTATAATTTTTACAATACACTATGAGTGCATTGTAAAAATTATAATTTATTACTTATTAAACTAATCTAATAACATAGAAGATTATGTGCGCATATTAATCCTTATAAAAACATAATTTTTAAACTATAGCCTTTATTCAGTTAAGAGAGTCTGTAGTAGATGAGTATACTCGTATTACATTAGATCATGCTTGGCACTTACGAGTACATATATTAAATAAAGAAGTAAATCTAAAAAATCAACTCATGTGCGTCTACAGGTCATATTTCTGAGTTCTGGCTCAAAATCTGGATTTTTGATCTTGTATATACTTGCATTGGTATATACAGAGTGTAAAGGACGGTATAACGATTACTGAAATAGTGTAATCAGACCATCATTCTGTCCCATTCGAAAATCATATGTTTTTTTTTAAATATAATTTTAATTTTTTGGTTAAAAGTGATATCACAATGAGTAAACATTTTCCCGATTTTTTCATAAATACCGCATACGGTCAAAAACTGCAATGTAATAAATCAAATAGCCATAGTTATTACTTTTGTGCGATACCTACCTAATTTTTCGCCAGAAAATTTCAATGACTCAGAATGATGGTTTGAATGCACTATTTCAGTATTCATTCATTTATTTCATTACTTTACTTTTTACCTAAAAGAAAATATTATGTAACAAAAGTGTATCTACAAAACGTCAACAAAAATACTGTTAACAATTGTCACACTACGTCTCAAATCACTTTGAGTGATTACTAAACTAAGTCGTCTCGTACAAAAGAGCTTTTATAAACAGCACATGGTTTGTGTGGTATATAATAGATAACCTTATGTATGTATACATTTTTATATCAAACATTAAAATAAAAAAAAGAAATGGAGAAAACATTCCACCGGTTGTAACAGAAACATTGATTAAAAAGGAAATGGTAAATGTAAGTAGAAAATAAATAAAGATACCTAAACTAAAAGGTGTTTTCACTGAATCATATTTCAAGCTTAGTCTCAAGTCTTTCAAATTAATAGGAGGAAATCCTGTGGTATCACCGATTTACTTGTATTAATTCGTTCTGTATTATATATTCAAGTTACACATACATCTGTACGTTTTTATTCATTATAAGATCGTCTTGCACTTGAACAGTATTTGATCGTAAAAGCTTTTCGTACTTCAAGACTTGACCCATTCTGTCCGCTTGGATTTCATATTTTTAAGTAAACTTTTATAGGCTTGACGGTATTCGTTCGACATAATGACATAAAGAATTGGATTGATGAAAACCGTACAACATTCTAGTATATGCACTAAAACATGGACAGTAGGATTTGATTTGTATTCACCATATACAGCTCTGGTCATCACAATGGGCAAAGGCATATAGCAAAAGATATAAGCATAGCAAGTATCATTGTAGCAAGCTTTTTGTCTTTTCTAGTTGGCAAACTTTGTGTTTTAGTTAATCTTTTTGTTGCATCAGGAATTAGATTGATAGATGAATTGTGTTCATAAATTTTGTCGTTTGAAGAGCTTATGCTCTCTCTAAAATATTAGAAAAAATAATCAATGTTAAACTAATAAAGTACTTAAATAGCAATAACGTTCTTGCTGATAATCAATTTGGCTTCAGGGCTGGTAAATCCACTGAAGATGCCGTCTTAACTTTGACTGATTCTATTACCATAAATCTAAATAAAAACCTTAAATCGACTGCTATATTTCTAGACCTTTCAAAAGCTTTTGACACTGTTCCTATTTCCACCCTACTCGGGAAGGAGTGTATTGGCGTTAGAGGCGTTGTCCACAATCTCTTCAAAAGCTATTTTGAGGATCGCTTTCAGTATGTTAGGATGGGTAGTGTCATAAGCGAACGTGAACCCTTGCTCTTTGGGGTGCCCCAGGGTAGTGTCCTTGGACCTACCCTGTTTTTAATATACATAAACGACCTTTGCAAATTGGCTATAAGAAATTGCAAAATAATAACGTACGCTGACGACACTGTTCTACTTGTAAATGGGGCAGATTGGAATGATACTCAATCTCATGCTGAGGCAGCATTGTCTACAGTAACTCACTGGCTTTCTCGAAATTTTATATGCCCATATGGTACGCTGCATCTCAGCTATACCATGAGTTAAAAAATTTAACAGTAAGAAAGCTCTTCTTATTAACGGGTTTTACTTCGTAAACACGCAGATCTCCCTTATATTCCTAATATAGAAAAACGAAGAATAGATAAAGTTTGCATAATACAATTGTGTAAAACGCAACTTGCTAAGCGACACTTCTACTTCTTTGCCCCCTCATTGTATAACAAAGTAAATAAAATTTTGAACATTTATCCCATTATTATGCGAGAATGTAAATCGCGAGTTACTGAATGGCTGCTTGGTCTAACTTACGAAGACACCGAAGACTTAGTCGCATCTATTATATAACGCAACACGCACACTCACATGCACTCCCACACGCAGGCACGCTCACACAGATACACACACATACACTCTCTCTCTCACACACACACACGCTCGCACAGACACACACATACACGTGCACACACACACACACAACACACATACACTTTCAAATCCTCAACGTTTTACTCCACATGCTTAGTTTTTAGAGTTGTAATGTGGTAGAATAAAATGGAACGTTTGCATCAGATCCAAAGGTGGGCGTTAGTGACTGCGCCACAGTGTTTCACTAATGCAGTCATTATCAAACACATTTGAAATATTGTAATCTGTGTTATTAGTTTTAAATAAAGAATTTTTATTATTATTATGCTTATGAATACTGATACATTCTGGCTCATATCACTGGTTTCTGCTACCGTTAAGTCTGATTGACTAGTACTTTTGGTGGGCTGTAGCGTACTAATTTTGTGATTGCGGCATTGTTTCATTTTGTTTCTGACATTCCACCATATACAGCCGTAAAATACATAAATAATTAAATATGGACCCACAAAGGCAAAACACGTTAAAAATTGTTTAGGAGAAACATTGTTTTTGTCTGGAATCAATGTACAGGCTATTCTTCTCGGGTCCATGCCGAATTTTTCCCATACACCAACAAACTCTTTAAAGGCATTTTGTACTGCCTCTCGGGAATTGAATTTTTTACCCACTAAAAAGTTGTCTAAATTTTGGCAAAAGTAATAGTCGGTAGGTGCAAGGTCTGGTGGTCACATCTGCAACCAGCTTTGGTCAATCGGTCAAGCTGCAAGAGCTGGGGTTGGAAGCTCTCCCTCATCCGCCATACTCACCAGACCTTGCACCTACCGACTATTACTTTTTCCAAAATGTAGTATTACAACATGATTTTTATATATATTTAGCAGGTGTTCTAGCGATAAACCAAAAACAAGGTGTCATCTATTGCTATGAAATGTATGACTAATTAGTATAAATACTTATATTTACAATTAAGATACTTTTAAGTTATAGCAAACTTTTCCATTACTAGGGTTTGAGTATATCAAATGGGATGATGTTTTGTCATTCATGATTAAATAAAGTACACCGTGGGTGGTCCAATTATCTTTTTATTTATTAAACAGTAAATTACTAAGATATCTATGAATCTCCTTACAGAAAGGTGCAGCTTGTATTCGCATACAATAAAACAAAACCATACTGCAGTATCATTTAACGAAGACACAACGAAATACCGATTAACTACTAATCCTCCATCGCGCAATAAAAGTTTTCGCGCCGATTAGTATTAATAATACAACTTCCCAACCTTAACCATTGTACCGCGCCCCGCCACGGATGATCATTTCGTTTGATCGGAAGATCCTCGCTTTATGTTATACAGACATTAACGCCCGTTATCATGTTCATCTGATAATTTAAAATGATACTCGCTCACGGTCTCAATTGAATGATTTATGACACCAATACCGCGTAGATTTTCTTTTGATCCTTTTAAAAGTTTTTGTGGCTTTTTTACTAAAAGAAACGAGTGACTGATGAGTCTTTAAAACTAGACTCAAATAATGTGATTTAAATAATTATTACAATTCATGTTATTTTATTTATTTTTGTAATATAAATATAAAAAATAAATAAAAATGTTATTATACAGTCACATACAGTCTTGAAGTAATGCCAAAAGCCTTTTGTAATTCAAGACTTAAATAATGCCGTCACTTTGGACTTAAAGTCTTCAAATAAACTTTTATAGGCCTGACGGTATTCATTTGACATAATGACATAAATTATTGGACTGATGAAAGACGTACAATATTCCAGTAAATGCGCCAAAATATTGACAGCAGGGTTTGATTTGTATTCACCATATAAAGCTCTGGTCAACATTAGTGGCAAATGGCATATAGCAAAGGATATTAGTATAGCAAGTATCATTGTAGCAAGTTTTTTATCTTTTCTTGTTGGTAAAGTTAACTGATCTTCTTTTTTTGTTATTCTGAACGAATACTTGAAGAACTTCATCATTTTATTCTCTGTTCCATCAGGAGTTAAGTTAACCGACGAACTAAGTTTAAGTTTTTCGTGATCCGTGGAGCCTTTATGTACTGATGCTTCTTGGCAGACATCACCGTTTTCTGCGCCCGAAATCTCAGATCCACTACTGCTTGTAATGGGTAGTATTGTTCTAACATTATGATTACGACATTGTTTCATTTTCTTTCTCACAGTCCACCATATACGGCCATAACACACAGAAATAATTAAATATGGACCCGCAAAAGCAAGACATACGAAGAATATTTTGGGAGAGACATGATTTTGGTCAGGAATCATAGTACAGTCTATTCCTTTTGGGTCTAGGCCGAACTTGCCCCAAACGCCCAAGAAAGATGGTAAAAAGAGTGTAAATCCAGCTATCCAAGTACTAAGTACTGATATTATCAAACTCCTTCTCTTGTAGATTCTGGAAGTAAAATAGTGTAGAATTGAAAATCTGTTTATGTTAATTTAAATATATGTAATATCTTACGTAACTTATGCTGATTTTTCTATTTCATTCTTTTTTTATATTTTAATCGCATAGAGTTTAATATGAAGAGATGAAGAGTTTAAATTTCTAGATTACTAGGATATATTACATTAAAATTATTAATGTAATGCAAAAATAAATTTCAAGTAATTATCAGATGATAATCCAGATATATTTTAAGAAATTAATGCTGAAGAATGCTTTTACAAAAAAAAAGAAAATTACCTTGGGTACATTAACGGATGGCACACCATAATGTATCGGTTAATGGTGATAGCTACCACAGTAAAATGCGCAGTCCCATTCAGTGCATATTTCATCAACGAATACACACTGCACATCGTATTCCCAAATATCCAATGCCTATATGAGTAATTAAAAGACGTTAAGGGTAGAATCATGCAGCAAAATATTAAATTGTTCACGTGTAGGTTTATTATGAAAATTGCTGTCGCATTGCGGAACTGAAAAAAAATAAAAATATCAGGTAAATTTGCAATTCTAATAGTTAATTACTTTGGTACCAATGCCTACAAAAATATTTATCCCCACAAATAATACCAATGTAGGATTTTTATTCGTCTTTGCAATTAATTCAAATGGGACATATGTTCTGTCTTTTAAAAGGCAAAGATTTCATTGTGTTACTTACTTGTGTTTTACTTAAATATGTCTTTGTCATGAAATAGAGACAAACGACTGTGAACACCTACGACTCAAATGTCAAATGTGTTACTAGCACTTGATTTGAAAAGAATTTGAGTTAGTCGTTTCCAGTATTAATATTGTCTTATTCATACTCGTTTTAGATTTTAAAAAAGTAACTTACCTTTTTGCAGCAACCGAGAGCAATAATTGTAATTAAGTTGCCGGGAATGCCAATCAGTATGAAAATTACACAGCATGCGACGGCAAATTGTAACAGTGCGTCTGGATATCCTCGGAAGAGCTCAACAGTCTCTAGTTCTGTATTAGATCCAATGCTGTAGTTGGACTCCATATTGTAAACACAGGTACTACTAGACAACAACTTGCAATGTATTTCACAGCTCTAAATAAAGTTAGTTTCTGTTTTACAATATGTGTCCGTCGACTTTTAAGTCAGATACACACACATGCCTTTGAATAATCTTTGAATCACATTTCTTAATTCTGGTATCTCTTTGATGTCATCACTAACATATCCGATTTTATAAACAATAACTCCATATTAGTATTTCAAATTTTAATAAAGCGTCTTCTATGAAAACTGGTTTAAGTGTGAGGGAATAAAACACTGTTATGTAAAATGATTTAATAAAATCATGTTTATTTATATACTTATAAGGCGTACCAGATTTCCCTAATGCGTCATTGACTATTGTTGTGGTTTAGCTATAATTTAATGTGGTGTGCGCCTAGTATATCATAATATGTTTTTCTACCATTGAGGCTTTCTCCGCTGGGAGTATTGGCCTGAAATTGATTTTAGTAATCCAACATTTGCTTCCAAGGAATACATAACAACACTGCTTCATGATCAGGTCAAAATAAGCTATAGATAACGATCTTAAATTGGATTTAGAGCATTTATCTACTGGTCAGTTACCTACTTCATTTGTCAGTTGTTTTTATCGTTTGGTTTTGGTCGATTCAATTCTGACACACCGACTTTATCAGCTACACTACTAGTAAACAACAAAAAACGAAATATTCAAACGTGAAAGTCACACTCAATGCCTCAATTGCCTAAGTCTGTATTTAGATACTCAATAATATGAAGATTTAGGAAGACTTTAAGCAACAGCAGTAATCACCTATGATGTTGTTTAATAATTAAATTGTTCTTTTTTTAATTATGCTATTTGACTTTTCCAAACTGCTAACCTAACAAGCTTCTGACTTTTGCAAGTGCTATTATATAAAGGATAGGATTTTTTTTTAAATTCTGTTGATCGTGTTCTGTCTGTTGTTGTATGTCATCGTATCTGTAGTAGCCGACTTTGTTTATTCTTATTAGATTCAATCTTCTTTCCTTGTTCCCCAAGTATGTAATTGATGTTCCACAGTATACCCTTTCCTGCGGTACGGTGGTGGTAGTAAATATTATGCACATTCGCCATGAAGATTACGTAAAATCCGTTCACCGCGTGAACACCGAAGGCCGCAAGATAAATTTTGAAGACCTAAAGTTTACTGTAATTCATTTTTGTATTAACTTTCAGTCCATGACTTTAGATTTATCTATAGTTAAATACTGTTCGTCTGATTCCAAATTAATCGAGTATTAAGGAATATCGTTTTCAGTAAAGCGTTAAAATACGAAAACATTCTTAGAATAAAGTAAAATAGATGTGCGCCTTAAAACTGCAATTCAAAGAAGACTTGTGTTTGTTAAAAATTCTGTAATAAAATTATATTTTATGTAAAGTACCATATTATTATTAGTATATTAATAGCCGTTAATGCATATAGAATAAGTACGGTATACATGCATTATTTTCATCCTTATCCGTATCAGTGGATCGCATAATGAACCAATTTAACGATACGCAATGGTCTAACACTACTTATACTCGTAAATAAACAGAATACTAATTATTGCGTTAATAGAAATCCGACATTCAAAGCATCTATCTCTTAGTCATATTTTGCAATAAACCTGATTACCTAAAGTATTTTATAATATTAGTTTTAAAACTATCAAATAATTTTTTATAGGCGTGACGGTATTCATTAGACATAAAAACATAAATTACAGGACTTATACAAGCTGATGAATACTCTAATAGATGGCCCGAAATATATGCAACAGAGTTTGACTTGTAATCTCCATATAAGACTCTTAACAACATTAGTGGCAAATGACACAGAATAAATGACATTAGCAAGGCAAAAATCATCGTAGCAAGCTTTCTATCTTTCCTAGTCGGTAAATGTGATTTTTCTTTACCGTCTGCGGGTAATTGACATTTCAAAGGTTTAATAATCGGTTGTTCTTGATCTTCAAGGGATAAAATGACAGAGTCATTTGGCTTACAGACTTCGCAGTCTTCTGAGTAGCTGCCCGAAATCGTAGGTGTTTGACTGACATATCCGGTAGAAACATGGCGACAATCAGATTCACCAGAGCTCATAGTAATTCGTACATTTGCAGCTTTGTGTTTATTGCGATTTTGCCTCCTTTTCCTTAGTACCCACCAAATGCGACCGTAGCACACAGACATAATTAAGTATGGGCCAACAAATGCAAAACAAACAAAGAAATTTTTGGGATACACTTTGTTTTTATCTGGGACCATGGTGCAGATTCCTTCTAGTGGATTCAAGTCAAATCTTCCCCATATCTCAAAGAAAGATGGTAAAAAAAAACAAAATCCTACTATCCATGTGCTAACCAGTGACGTTATTAAAACTGTTTTTTTGTTAAAGCTGAAAACAAAATGTCATCTTTATTTTAGAAATTAAAACGAAAAAAATAATGTACTCATAATGTTAACTGACAAAGTAACTAACATATTTATAGGCATTGAGAAATTTGTTGAACTAAAAAATAACTATTAGTTATATTTTAACTTATGCGTAGAACAAGCTTACATTTGATCATATTTCTCTACCTAGTAAAACTCTTTTAAAAAATCTTTGTAGTTTCTTGTTGCTGAGTCATTACATTGAGGACTAGTTAAGTCCAAACTGTACGTCAATTAGGCCCTAAAAGTGAGTTTGTTCTAAGCATTGGTCAACATTTATTTTAAAAGCTGATCTCAACATACAACGAAGTTTGTGTGAACTTACCTGGGATATCTAAAAGGATGACACACCATAATATATCTGTTAATTGTAATGGCTATCACTGTGAAATGGGCAGTTGCGATTAATGCAAATTTCATTAGCGCGTACAATCTGCATGTTGTGTTGCCGAATGCCCAGCGTTTTTCTGAATAACTTACAGCCGTCAAGGGAAGTATAAAAGAGCAAAATATCAGGTTGCATATGTGGAGGTTAATTATTAAAATTGCAGTCGCATTTCGATACTGGAATAGAAAAGTATACATAAATTAGAACAAAAATATTTTAGTCGTGCAGTATTGATACGATGATGATTAAAAAAAAAAGAAAAATAATACTATTACTGTGTGTGTTTGTAATGAGAAATAAAGATCACAATGAATTGCATATGTTAGTGATAAGTGTGTAAGACTAATAATTAAAAAAAAACTTATAGCAATCTTGTTGATCCAATAAAATAATTTTATTTACAAAATTGACACGAAAACTTGAGACTTATGAACAATTAATGAGCCAAAGTAAAGTGTTAAAATAATACTGCAGTCAAGTCAGACTTGTGTATTTTATCATCAATTTAAGGTATTGCCTAACAGAAGACGATAGATATCGTCGAGATTCTAACTAGTCTAGGTCTTAAAAATTCAAAAATATCACTAATAAAAATATGTGAATTGCACTAGAATTTTTATTTTTATTATTGTTAGTTAGGTAATCGCAGTCCCCGACGAACACTATGGTAATCGCTATTACGATAGAATCGGGTTTATTAGATATTCGTTATCTACACACCCTATTACAATCATTGAATTTTTTTTATGATCGGGCGATGAATACTTTTGGATTTATCCATTCAATAATGATCTTTATGTTTTTGTTCAACGTATAACATAAGTGAAAAATTTACACGATCAATAACGCAAAAACCTATTACCAAATCTCAAGAGTCAACATTTTAGAGTAAGCGGTTATTACCATATTGTTCAAGGGAAAAATGACAGAATCAGAATCAGAATTTATACATAGGTACCGAAATGGTTATAACACCTAAAAATGATCATCGAATAAGCATGTAATTTATGTTTACCGTAATATTAAAGTCAGTTATATCATCGAATACGATTGAAATGTCATTTTACGAATATAAAGTATATTCATATTTACCATGGAACAATATCATAATGAACGATTACTACAGCAACACCGATTTGTGATTACAGTCGAACACTATCGTAAAGTTAGTTTGCGTTCATTTTTTCCATAGCTTATTTCAGTAATGGACATTTTCACAATTTTCTTACTGATAAAGAAAATTTATGATAAAAATTTAGTAAAAATCTAGTGCAAAAAAATATTTCCTTATTTTTGATAAAAGAATCTTCTTTTTAGTCTTGATAGTATTCAAGATATTCAGTTTGTTTTGTTTGTTATTGTTATTTTCCTATTATGATTTTGTTCGTCGGGGACTGCGAATTAGTTTTTAGGTTGTCCAAATAAAGGGGAGGAAAATATTAACGTGTGGAACGATGGCGGAATATTGCGGCCGGTATTAGTCCGAACAATTCGTCGATGCACTTTCCTTGATACATACGATAGAGAATGCAGAGTGAAGCTACATCTTTACGTAACGTCAAGGAATCAAACCGATCGGAGATTTTCTTACTATCGACGATCTTCGTTGGATGCGATCCAGAGGGCCTCGTTGGTTCGTTCGGGCAAAGCTCGTTTGCCCCCTTCACCATAAAATAATAATGAAAACTAACCTTTTGATAACTTGCCAGGGCAATTACAGTGATTAGATTTCCAGGAATACCGAGGAGCGTTAATATTACACAACAGATGAATGAAAACTGAAGCAACCATTCTGGATAACTTTTAAAAAGTTCCATTTGTAGCGTATCAGAACCGTTCATGATTGTATTTGTGGTATAATTTGAACTTATCTTCAAAACTGCACGGGCATTGGTATTTTACACCGGTGTACTCTTATGGTTATTCTAAGTTAAATTGTTATTATTATATTTAACACCTGAACTAACACTTCGTCTATTTTATAAGGAAACTGAATTATATGTGAATATCGACAATATTGGTAATAAACACAATGCTCTTTTATCCATAAATATATATAATTTTCCCTGATCACTCATTTTACGATTTATCTCTACGGCGCGATTGTAATTAAAGATTTTATTTATTTAAACTGTATGTACAAGTAGTAACTAAATACACTAT